ACATTTTGTGATTTATTAGTTCTAAGTGTTTGCTAGTTTAAAATATTTATGTGAGTTTCCTTGGAAAAGGTGAGCAGTAAATATAAAATAAGAAAGTATATACATTGGGGTGGGGGGTAGAAAATCTGGCAATGAAACGTACAAGTTAACGCTCAACGGTGGTGATATAGTAGCAAATGGATTCATTACCTGTACTTGATTTTATAGTACAATTTATTTATGCTTTCCAGTGTGCATCATAATGCTATGCTAAACCAATTTGAGATTATAAAATACATCCATGATCCCCAATAGGGAGTATATTGATTCATTCAGAGCTTCTTAATGATGTACTTGATAAAACCTTGCATGAATTTCAAATCAAAATATATATCTATGCCCTCCCGAGGTGTTTGGATTACTTCGAAGTGTCAGATGAAATACACTATGTAGTTTTAAGGAAACAACATCCACCCATTCAGTCCCAATATCTTGTCACAACCTTCCCCTCCTGTAGTTCTATACAGGGGTCATTTTGTAGAAAAAGAGGTGCAGGAGCTCATTAGCATAACTCATTAGCATAACTTATTTGCATATGCCACATCCCCTGACATCACCGGAAGTGTGTCAGAAGGCAACACCCACTGCTCAGGCTCCACTGGACTGTGTTGGATTGCTAGCTATTGGGGGGGGGGACATGCAGATCTGTCCTGGCAGAGGAGGGAGAGCTCGTACCTGAATCAAACTTGGTCTTAAAGGTGCCACTGGACTGTTTTGGACCGGGGGGCCGGGGGGGGGGCTCTGCAACTTACCTGGCTGTTTCTTGCTCTGACTGAGGGCTACTGGGAGCAGGGGGTGGGGCCTGTTGCATGTGCCTGCCCCCTGGGCTCTTTACTGTTGGAGCTCCGCTCCTGTGCGCTCCTGCAGGAAATGACCCCTGGTTCTATAGCAGTTTGGATTGGAGGGGATGGAATCAGGGTTGGGGACTGCATGAAGCTTGTATTCTTCACTTTCAGTTTCACCGAATGCAACACAGGGAGGAGAGGCGAAATAATCCTCCCCTTGCATGGTGTCTTTATGCAGAGGGTGTGGTGATGTTCACTTTCCTCCCAAACTCCAACAATACTGCTTTAGTGCTAGACTACTTTTGTTCAGAGTTACGCATTTATTGAATGTTTATACACACACACACACACACACACACACACATACAAGGTTTCCTCAGTGAATTCCAGCTTGTATTACATACTGGGAAATATTAGTTTGCAAAAGGGTATTTGCATGTCAGTAATAAATGCCTGCATCCGGGAATGGATTGTCAGAACGGTTCCTGTGCAGTTAAAATATGATTTAGATTACTCTGCTGTTCTGGAATGTCCATCCTTACCATGCTCTCTTGCTTGTGCACACCAACACAATTCATTGATTGGTTCATCTTATGCTTCTCATTATCTGAATCTTGGGTCCCTGCCACACGGCAGGGAAAAGGACGGTCGAACTGCGGCTAATCTGAGCCACATCACAGTTGAGATGCCGCGGCGGGATCTCACGGATCTCCCGAGCCGCGGCGCCGTCGCTCCCCAGCACGATCAGTTGCCGGGGAGAATGCAACGGTGGGAAGGGGAGCCTGGCGAACTGCGCATGCTCACACATGCGCAGTTCGGCCAGGAGCCGGGGATGCAGCCACACTTGCCGCAGCCCAATCGAAAGAACCACCCAGGTAGGTGGTTGTTTTTTAGTGCGCTGTATGGGCGGGATGGGATGGATCAGAGACGATAGCACGATGTTCCCCAGATGTTGCGGTGGGATCGCGCCCGTTTGCTCCGACCCTGATCTGTCCTTTTCCCGGCCCAAACGGCTCGTATGAACAGGGCCTTGGTTGCGCTATGTACCCTGGTTCCAATGCAAGGCAGAATTACAAACACTGCCTCCGTGGTCTTAAGTAAATTTAACTCTCATTTGGATTGTGATCCTTGTCAATAGCATTCTCTCCCTATTTGTAACAATTTATCTGTGGGTGGCCAACACAGAGATATTTTAAGTCGGAGAAATCAAAACTCAGTTATCAGCTGTTTGGAGGAATTATGTCTATACTGATTTAAAATGTTGCTTAAATCTAAAGAAACAGCAAAGTCTGGGTAGGCTGATTTAAAGTACAGTTCAATCGTAGGGGGGGGGGAAGCCCTCTGTTTTAAAAATTGTTATTTTCCTTCCCTGGCATGCTGTTAACTCAAAGCTTAATCTACTATGCTTCAAAAACATACATTAAACTTTATCCTACTTTTCCTCATTTTGAAATCCAATCTATTTCGGTTGGCAGAGGCAATGAAAACAGCATGGGTAATCAGTAAAGTGGGGATTAATCTGTGATGTTCATAATGACATGGCCTGTTTATTGCAAGATGTAATAACATCGTCTCTGTTCAGGTTTTGCATCATTCCACAGTTTTATTGGACAAAACCTCAGTCTTTCACAGAATCATAGAGCTTAACTAGATAACTGAAGCTGAACTGTAATATTTGAGAAAAACGTCCAGCCTTTAATTAGGGATGAGATTCTCCAGGGTCTAGGCAAAAGAACATGTCTAAGATCTATGCGAGACTTGGAAATTATTATTTTAATCAAAACATTTAACTTCAACTTGTCATATCTTTGACTCTTGTTCACTTAAGAAGACCGATGTTTAATTAATAATAAATTAACCAAAATAACATAATTTGAGTAGCTCTTAAAGGGCCCTTACACAGACTTGCTTGGAAATCAGTTCAGATTTCTGGGTTCCCTTATCTTTCTCTCTCTCTCCCGGACGTGATCAGGATCAAGGAAATGATATCATAGCTTCCTCTGTGATAATGCAGTATGGCTGTTATAATAGACTAGGAAAAAGGCTTGTTGTGGAAATAAATACAACGGCCTCTAGAAAGAGGCTCTGGGCGGGTGCCCTGGCCTTGGACACTCAGTGTCAATTTGCTGTGGCGACCTCAGCAGGGTATAATGACACTGAGTCCACCATTTTTTCCAGAGGAACTGATCTCTGCTACCTAAAGAACAGTTGTAATTTTGAGTGATCTCCAGTCCACCCCTGGAGATTGGCAACGATGGTTCCCCATAAGGGAATAGTTGGTTTGGAGGGTGGAGTCTATGGCTTTGTACCTGTCCAAGGTCCCACGCCTCCTGAAACCTCACCCTCTCCAGGCTCCATCCCTCACATCTCCAGGAATTTCCCACCCAGAGTTGGCAAACCTATCTCCTTCCCAGCCAATCATCAACCTACCTTTATTTCCCTCTCACTCTTCAGCTTTCCACCCCCACACACACCTGCAGCCTATCCTGTGCTCTGAAGCCCTGACTGCTACGTCACATTGGCTGTCATATGGGAACCACCTCAGCAGCACATAAGGATACAGAGCCCACCATTTTCTCCAGGGGCACTGATCTCTGCCATCTGGAAAGCAGTTGGAATTCTGAGTGATCTCCAGCTCTCACCTGGAGATTGGACACATTTTAGCTCAGAAGAGCAAACTGTTTAGAATGTTAGAGGCAAAAGCCAATCAAGTCTCATATGCAAACGACCTCTGTGTTCCGAGGCAGAGGCCAATGAGGCTGCATATGCAAATAACCTCTGTTCTGACTGGCTATGTGGAGTGGGGAGAGGATTAGCAAAATGTTTAGAATGTTGGAGGCAGGACTCAGGCAAAGCAGCCAGTGGATAGGGAGACCCTCTGAATGACAGATCAGAGAGCGAACTGATTTTGGAGTGTGTGGAATGTTCTAGAGAAGTGCTACCACCATACGGCTTTTATTTATAAGGGAGATTATCAGTACTAATGACTGCTGTTGGGGAAGAAGGCTTGTTATGACACCTTGGGTATTTCTAGCCTGCTTAGCCAAATAATTGATTAAGAATTATCCTGTCGTGCAGCAAACCATTGTTAGGCACAGAGCTGCTCTGTCATATTTGTTGCAGATTAAATTGCTGTGATGAAGCGTTGAGAGTAGAGCCATGTGGGATCAATTTTCATCTTTCTTGTGGTAGTTGAGCAATACTGATGTTACTTGGATTGCCCAGGTATGAATAAAAATTGCTGAGGCATTGCTTATATTGACATAATATTTTGACATTTTCGTATGCTGATATGCTGCCGGGGAAAAGACCCAGCTGATATAGACAGCACTCTGTTCTCAGTTAAAACCATTTTCACTGTTTAATAGCCTCTCCCAAATAAACACTTTTGAAGGATTTATTACCATAGGTGAATAGTGCTTATGTTGTGTTCTAGTACATCTCAGTTTTTAGTATGAATTTGTAGGGCCTGAGTTTTTCTTCCCCTGCGCCTTCATTTGTAGCCTTATCACCAGAAGGGTTCCAAGTTGTTTATATGTTGAGAACTTTCCCACTGAGCATATTAACTGGAATATGCAATCTGTTGTATGCACTTTGCTTTGGAATTTTTGTAACCCACGGAACTGCTAGATTGAGGTGAATGACTCTGTTTGTATCTCAGGAAGAACTTGGAAAAGAAGGGAATAACTTCATTTTTTTTATTAAACAACAACACATTCTTTGCTACCAGATCTTGTTTCAGGTTGGGGGGGGGGTACCAAGGTGCTTTTGAGCTACATGTAGGGCTGCCAAATGCAGCCGGGGGCTGGCGCGCGTGTCACCCGAAAGTGACGTCGCACGCTGGGGGCAGGGCCACGCGATTTGAGGGGAAAACAAAGAGTTTTCCCCTCAAATCGTGTGGCCCCGCCCCCAGCGTGCGACGTCACTTCCGGGTGACGTGCACGCTGCGCGCGCGCGCACGCACCCAGGATCGTCCGGGAGCCCCCCGCTCCCGGACGATCCATATTTGGCAACCCTAGCTACATGGTACACAATGTGTCCCCCCCATCAATAGATTTAATTAAAAAATAATTGGAGATGACACAAAATAAAATATATATGCCTTCGTAATAATTATTCTAATAATTTTGCATGCACTAGTAAGTGTGTCTATGTATTAATCTCTGTTTTATCTAGTTGTTACATGTGTTTTGGAAAGCAACCATTCAGTAGATGTGGGAGAATGCCTAAAGTGGGCAGAACCTATGCCTTCTATTGTTCAAGAGTGCCATATTCCTTGCAAAGATGACTGCACATTCACCCCTTGGTCTAAATTTACTACATGTTCATCAGACTGTGTATCAACAAGGAGCAGAAGACGAACTCTCACAGGTAATATCAATATTTCACGCTTCATTTTCAGTCCTTGTTTCAGATGTGAGAGAGAGTTCAAAATTTGTCAGATGCTGTTAAAGCATTGTTCATAGAAGGATCTAGCTTTTGTAGCACAGTAATAGGCCCAAACCAGCTTAAATGTGATGCTTCCTGTCAGTGCAACGTCCTCCCAAACATTGCTAGGATGCCAGCATTGCATATGTAGCAGTTTACAACTAGTTGCATGCAATGACACTTGGGTACCTTCTGCTGTCCCACCAGAGTAATTTTCAAATCAGGTCACTTTTAAATCGGGCCTAATCTGTATAAAAAAATATTGACACAGAATGCTGATCATTACCTATTCTGACACAGAACTTTGCACCATTAAGCATCTGGCACCTGTTATCTTGAGAGAGGTCGTATTGGGAAATGTGAAGAGCACCTTCCTTTCCTTTTATACCCTTAGAAGCTCATTGATTCACAGATCTTGAGCAGCAGAAGATACTTGCTTCTTTTTTCATGCAAGGGCTAAAACGACTAAGACTGTGATAAGCACCTTGAAGAATATGTTCAGTATGATTACAATGACTGTAATGGTGATTTCTTATGATTTTCGGGGCAGATCTGCATTCAGCGATCAGGTGATGGAGAGATATGACTTGCAAAATTAGTCAATCATAAGACATTTGCAGTAAAGTAGTAGTGGTATTAAATAATACTCACATGCTTTTAGTAATATGGTATCATTTATGGATTTTAATTAAATACATAACTTATTTTTTAAAATTAAAATCTGTAATGACCTGAGGCTAATGCAAATGACACTCGTATGTTCTTTTTAATGCATAAAATATATTTGGATAAGTGAACAGCAAAAAAAGCATCATCTTTTTTTCTAGCTGCTGAGTGTTGAGGAAATGAGGGGTCCAGGAACCTTTTCATGCACTCCCATATTTATTGGGTTTTGCACACAATTAACACACACCACATTGACACAAAAACACACAGATCAAACAAATATATATGTAGACTACTACTGTTTTCAACTCACAGCAATACAGCTTACTTCTTGAAAATAAAGTTAATTCATTTCCCAAAGCAATTGGACCAGTAGCAATTTCCCGTAGAATTGGACCAATTCTATGGGCACCCAAACAGGTTACCCCCATTACCTCCATTGTTTCCAATGGGGAAACCCAGTCAGCAGCTGTTAAGGCAGGCAAGCAGGCAGCACCCAGCTGTCCGACTCTCCCAGAGAATCTCAGGGAAAGGGAACTGTCTTGGGAGGTGCTTGTTTGCCATGAGAACAAGTGGCACACTCCAGAACAAGTGGCACCTTAACCTTTCTGCATAGGGAAAGTGTCCTCTTCTTATCATTGCAGTTACCCTTTTCTGCATTTTTCCAGTGCTATAAATATTCTTTTTGAGGTGTGTGTGGAGTGAGTGGTCCAATGAGGTTGCACCCTCAATTTACACAGGGCAAGGCCTGTATAAATGTTGTTCCTGTTGGTCTTTTGGGGTTTCTGTGTGGCACTGTGGCATGCTTGCAGTGCCACAGTGCCACTTGTTCGGGAGTGTGCCACTTTTGCTTCGGGACATGGGGTTTTATGTGGGGAGAGGCTCCCGAAGCTACCCTGAAAATTTGGAGCCACTCCCTCAAACCCCCTCCCCCCCGAGCCACTTACAGCACCGTGGGGGAAAAGTTACATTTTTCCCACCATAGAGAACAATGGAGGGGATGGGGGCAACCTGTTTGGGGGCCCGTGGAATTGGACCCCCCTGGTCCAATGTTCTTGAAACTTGGTGGGTATCTTGGGGAGAAGCTCCAGCAGCCACCCTGAGCGTTTGGAGCCTCTCCCTCAAACCCCCTTCCCTCCAGCCCCCAGAATATACCCTATGTTTTCACCATTGACTTCAATGGCCTATAGGATATAATTGGGCCAAAATTGATATTCGGCTGGCCCAAAGACTCCCCAATCGGCTAGTACTGCTGAAATTGAAATGCTGGAGTCTTTGTGCTGGCCGAAATTGATTCTGCCTGATTTGGCCAAATTGGGCTGATTTTTTTTTTGCACACCCCTATGAGTCCTCTCCAAACCCATACAGTCAGCCAAAAAGGGGGGTTGCACTAAGTTTTCATTCATACTTATCCTTGATATAAAAAGTTTTTATCTGCCAAGGTAATTACAAATTTGGCAGACTGCTAAGGCATATCTATCTCAGATTTTAAAAAGCCTAGAGGGCTGTATAGCTGGCTTATTGATGGCTCTGATGTACTCTTTGTTTTTATAAATTTTATTTTTAACTTTTTAAGGGGATACAGAAGAAAGAAAAAGGATAGGGGGAAAGGAATGAAAAATAAAATTATGGAAACACAATTCAAAAGGCAATTTTTGCGGATATAAGAACAATCCTTGATTAAAATGTGTGTGTATCAGGGGTCGTTTCGTAGAAAAAGAGCTAGGGGAACTCATTAGCATAACTCATTAGCATATGCCACCCCCCTGACATCACAGGAAGTGTGTCATAAGGCCACACCCACCACTCAGTTAGTCTTAGTCTTAAAGGTTAGTCTTAAAGGTGCTATTTGTTAGTCTTAAAGGTGCTATTTGAACTCTTGGACTATTTTGCAGCAACAGACTAACACAGCTACCTCGGGGAAGCTCCTGGATGGGGCTGGGAGTCCTTGCGGAGGCCACGTGGAGTGGCCTCGGCCAGGCAGAGGGGGAGGACGCCAACTTACCCTCCTGCTTCTTCCTCTTTCTGCAACAGAATGAGGCCGGAAGAAGGGGGCGGCCGGAAGAAGGGGGTGGGGCTTCGTCGTGTGCCCCACCCCCCTGCACCTCACCCGGGGGAACTGCGTTCCTCCGCGATCCCCCCCAAACCGACCTCTGGTGTGTATATATAAATTTAAAAAGATGACATAACTTAGAAAACCACTATAACAACCTACTCAACTTATTCTACCTTTTTCTCAGATTTTCATTTTCCCCTAACTTATCAATCCTATCAATTGTATACTAAAACATGAATAACCTCTCAAAAATGTGTATATAATTTTAATATAACAGTTTGTTGTAATAAAAGTCATACAAAAGATAATATTCTTAATATTGCATATAAAAACTGTCATATAATATAGACCATTCAAATATATGTAATCTGATTTGGCCACCAATCTAGCTGAGCCAGAATAAAAGCTGATATTATTTGGATCTCATTTGGGCTCTGCTTCACTCGTGGAGTAGAAGCCAGAGCACACTTTTCTGTTTTTGCTTCCCTTCCAGTGTATCCAGGCACCAAAAACAGATTTCAGACTAAGGCCTGGTTCAGAGACGTACCTGGGACTGAGACCCTGGTTCCATATGGGAGGAACAGGCTCATATGCTTCTTTCTAGCACACTCCTGATATAAAATGTGACAAGGCCATTTTGCACTTCATCCTGAAAGGATGGTTTCTTCTCCTTCAAAAAATCAAAGAGAAGATTGTGCCATTTACTCTTCCATGTGTATGATTGTCTTCATGTAGCACCTGCATCAAAGGTTACTCTATGAACACACAGCCAAGCTTGTCTGCACCTTGCACCAGACAGACTCGTTTTAAAGGTTCTTTTTTCTTTGGATAGGATTTTTATTTTTCCACAATGGACTCACTGAGGTTATAACCAAAGATTTGCCTGGGGGAGAGAAGTGCTCAGTATCTGTTTCCCCATTTTTGCTATTTCTATTTACCCCTCCCCCCAGATCCTTTTACCCTCATAAAAAATTAGGTAGTACATTATTTGGTAAATGCAATTAACTCTATACTCATTATTAACAGATATGACAGACTTTTGCTTTCATGCAATAAGTTCAACAGAGCCAGGAAATTCCAAAATCTACTCCATTTACCCTAAGCTTGTATTTCTATATCAAAGCTTTAAAACTGACTTAAAATAATGTTGGTTTCTCTATGTGTGAAATTGTTTGAATATTGAAAGGCCACCTCCAGCATAACACTGTTCAAACTCACATGAGAATTACTTTGGAGTATAATGCTTATTTTTTTTAAAAAAAATCCACAAATGCTATTTTACACAAAAAGGCCCATTCAATTAATGCTTTATGATAAGAATATAACCATAGGTTATGGCAAACAATGGCTTGAGAGAGAAAGAATGAGATTTCCTGTTGGTTTTTAAGCACAGGCATCATTGTAAATGTCATTATATTATAAATTCTTTCCCAAAAAGAATCCACAATAATAATTTTTAAGCAAGAATAACTCCTTTTCTTTAATGAGCCATGCTCATGAATAAAGCAGTTTGATTCTCTTGTGTTCATACAATGAAACAGTGTTATTCAAAAGCCAGGTCATACCTACAATTGCAGAATAACCTTTAATTGGTTGCATGTTATGCTTTTTTTAAAAAAAGGCAATGTGATAGCTGCGCTCATTCTTGAAACCTTTTTATACAAGATATATTTTCTAAAGCTGTCATGTTTAATTCTTTTATCCTTTGTTGTTCAAACCTTTGATGTATCACCTTGGCTAATGAAACACAAGTAACTAAAACTTTCCACTTTTAAGTAGAAATAGAAAACATTAAATGTTTAAACAAGCAACAAGAAAACACCACCTAATTATTTTTATTTGCTTGAACTTAGTCTAACATAACATGTTATGATTGATACAGTATGGGCTGAACTAGATGTTGTACATGGATGTGTGCCAGTTTTTTGCCAGTCTTTTTTTCCCCCTTGAAAAGCATATTCTTGATGGCAGCATCCTAAAGGATAATTGAAGGGGAGAGAGTGACTTTAACCTTTTCCCATTTGTTTTTCTGCTCAACATTAGCCTGTTTGCTCTGGGAGGTTATGCTGGTATCTAAATTCCCTCCCCGTTTATAATTTAGAAAATTTGCTTACTGCCTCTCCAGATCTCCTCAAAGCAATAAAATAGAGATACAGTAAAAACAATACACATAAATAATAACAATAAAAGCATATCAACAAAACAATCTAAAGTTAATAAA